GGTTTGAAACGACATGAGGGTGAGTAATTAATGACAGAATTTTCATTTTTGGGTGAGCTAACCCTTTAACATCATTCTTTTGCTTTAGCACTGGTATTTTCTTTTTTGGAAATGCAAAGATTGATCTTTTGGTTACTTAAGCATATGATTGTGATTTTAACAGTTGTTGTGTAATTTCGCTTTTAATGAACCAATAAACCTTATATATACACTTTTCCCCCATCTGTAGCTGTCATGAACAAATACAGCCCTTACCTCTTATTGATGGGAAGTATAATGTGAAGTTCAGGATCCACAGCAAAACGTCCTGATCAGCTCAGCAGAGTTCTTACCACTATGAGGCCCGTATTGGAGATTTATGAACTACATCCAGATAATGTGTTACCCTTAATAAATTACTCGGAGTCTTGATTAAAAGAAAGTTTATCGAATCACCATATACAAATGGCTTCGCTTTATTAAAATCAATAACTCATAAGCAAAAATCAAGAAAGTAACAGCGTGTATTCTTCACCCGTTTCTCGGCCCCGCAAAATCATAAAGCACTCGATTATATAGAAGAGGGCGTATACAAAATTCCTCTCCTGCATTGAAACTCTTGAAACTCTCTATTGGATAAATGCAAGTCACTCAAAACACTTGGTCACACCCTTTGTTTTCAATTCCATTGCAATTCCATTACATCATTACACTAAGCACAGCATACACACATGCGTACATCTCTAAAAAATATATGCATAGAAGTTCAAACAAAGTTCATCTCCTATACGTTAACACAGGATGTCTGACCTTTTTGTGCTACCCACAATTATGCATCTACACTACTACAATGCAGCAACACCTTTGCAAAAATATACGAGCAAGTTTTCACACCTTAACATTTTCCATTTGTTAACCCAGAACCCAGATAGGGACACCTGCTCTCGCTTTTTGACAGGATGTCAGTTTAACCGTTTATACCGCGGCGTTGGGCGTTGGCTCTTTGAATTCTCAAACAGTCAACCTCACCTCGCAAAGTTTCCATCTTCAAATTAAACTCATTAACTTCAATAAATTGTTTAACCCTTTTCATCAACCGTTTATTTCATGTTTCATGTTGTCGAATTATCCGAAGCAGTTCCCTAGCCATCAAGAGCATGTCCACGGCCTCCTCACTTCTGCGCAGATCATTAATAGGAATTTCTAGTTTACTTTTTTGGTTTAATCTTCTAATATGTGGAGTTTGACCGGAAAATTGAATAATTTGTCCTTCACCCTCTCTTTCCATTTTCTGCGTCAAGCTCTACTGTAATTTCGGAATTCTATTTTCAGTACCGTCCATAAACAATATACCCAATTCTTTCACTGCTACGCCATTTTTCAATATATACATCAAAAATATTTCCCTTTCTCCTGATTAAGGTGACTTCATGAAATTGGCGTACGTATAACTCATATTGATTTCTTCGATATTCATTGATGAACAATTGTTTTGGTCTGTCCTTTTCCACATATGTCTCCAGCACCTTAGATGAGAAGAAGACTTTCTCTAGCGAATCCGCTGTGAGTTTAATCACTTCCAGAAACGCTTCGAAAGTCATTCCAGCCTTTCGGCCGTCTTCCCTCACCATTACTTCAGCCATCTGTAGAAAAGGCGACATTCGTCAAAATAAGAAAGACCGTAGGTCCCTGTATTGCATATTTCATCTCTTACACCTTCATCTTCATCATTTCCAACACCAGTTGCTCTCATTTGTGTTAATTCGATAATTTGAAATACAATTCTCGGTGCCTTACTTATAATATCTGGTCTATCATACTGTCGTCCGGGAATACATAATTTTATCCACCATGGGATTACATACATTCCATAATTGTCTTTTTCTAATATCATTTCAGTAAAACCACATACTTTCAATTCATTTTTTATGTCTGCCCCAACTCTTACACACATGGCATGAACTAGTTGCCATATTGAAACAAAAGCTTTAAAACCGTTTTGAACCATTGTTTCAGGATTATTCATACACATTATACATCGGCGTTGGCCGT